TTTAGGTCATTAGTTATTATGTCTTGGATTATTATGATCGTCTGGGTTTAAGTTCTACCTCACTTATTATCAAATTCACTACTTTCTTGTCTAAAAACTTATTTGAATGTTAAAGTGTCTTTTACAAGTAAACCTCAACTCTTCACATTCAAAGGAAGTTACCTTTGGTTACCTTGAAGTCGGAGCTCAAAATCTAAAACACTAATTCCTCAGTACCTCTTGTCAACCTCCTTTAACTCGGTAAGAAGACACTTACCTCTTGTTGCACAATATCATTAATTATCTTTTATAATTTATTATTTTATATAATATTTTATATTTTATATTTTATATCAGTTATTATTTTTTAGATCATTAGTCATTATCTCTTGAACTAATATTATATTTTAGATCTTATATAGGAAGACTCAATCAAGAAGTTAATCTCACCTTATTACTTATTATCATATATACTAATATCACTTTATTATTCATTCTCATATATATTATTCTACTATCTATTCAGTCACATCAAAATCAAACACTACTACAAATAAGGCTTTCCACGTCGGTTCGGAAGGCCTTCAATGGCGGTTTCAGAACCGACGTTGTATCAGGCGACGTTGAAAGTCAGGACTTTCAACGTCGGTTCTATTTAACCGACGTGGAAAGTATGGTGGTTCCAGAACCGACGTTGTATCAAGCGACGTTGAAAGTCCTGACTTTCAAATCGAAAATTTTTATTTATTTCCAACCCCTCTCCCTATTTATCTAGAAATCCCCCTCTCTTTTATATTATATTTTTATTATTTATCATCTTTTTTTAAAGTTTAGAGCATTACCAAATTAATTTTTTGTCACTGACGAGATTCGAACCCAGTACCTTAGTGTTGGAGGCCGATACTCCAACCACTAAACTACTCGAATTTTTTGATAATAACTTACAAATAAATTATATTTATATACAAATAAATATATATCCGTGTAAATATATAAATATATAAATACAAATATATTTATATATTTTGATATATTTATATAATTATATATTTATATGTTGGATGTGAGGGCACACTCGAAGGTGAAAGTGTGTCGAGTGAGTTTTCAAAATTTGATGTCAAATTTGTGAGCGAGTCTCTTTATATGGGTTTGTAATTTAATGACAGAATATAATATTTATAATTTATTAATGATATAAAATAAATATGAGAAACGCATCATTCGCTCAAGCGAAAAATACCAATTTTTGCTCAAGCGAGGCTTGAACGAGTGAATTTCCGTGAGTTTTAACGTATTTTCACTCAAGCGAGAGTCAATCTCACTTTCACCCTCAAACGCGCCTTCACATCCAACATATAAATATATAACTATATAACTATATAAATATATATAAATATATCAAAATATATAAATATATTTGTATTTATATATTCTATATTTATATATTTACACGAATATATATTCATATGTATATAAATATAATTTATTTGTAAATTATTATAAAAAAATTATAGTAGTTTAGTGGTTGAAGTATCAATTTTCAACTCTAAAATACTTGGGTTCAAAAAATCCTGTTAGTGACAATTCTCTAACTTAAGTAAATTTTTGGCTGAAAAAAAATAAAAACACTTTCCAGAAAATATATATATTTACACGGATATATATTTATTTATATATAAATATAATTAATTTGTAAGTTATTATCGAGAAAATTACAGTAGTTTAGTGGTTGGAGTATCAACTTTCAACTCTAAAATACTGGGTTCGAATCCTGTCGATGACAATTCTTGAAATTAAGAGAATTTTTGGGTGAAAACACATTCAACGTCGGCTCATTTAGAACCGACGTGGAAAGTGCTTTCACGTCGGTTGACTAAGAACCGACGTAGAATGTGTCCAACATTCCACTTTCAACGTCGTTTTTTAACCAACCGACGTTGAAAGTGTATTTAACGTCGGCTCGACTTTAACCGACGTTAAATGACGACGTTGAAAGTATATTTTGTAGTAGTGAAAACTCATAATCTTAAACACGGATCTCCTCACTATCCTTGTTGATTTTCTTAACCCGATAATAACATAATTAAAATAATTAAATATTAAAATTATATAACTTTGTGATGTAAAAACTGGCAAAGGAACTACAATATAAATCTCTGTACATAAATGAATTTTCAAAAATATTAGTTCAATAATTTTTTTCCTTTTGAGATAATTTTAAATGAAAAGGACAAAATTATTATTCCTCATAATATTTTACTTCTTGAACTTGCATGTTATCTTAGTAACTGACATATAATATAAAAAGAAAAACTAGATTTTTCAAACAAATAATTGAACGAAGGTGTTACTAGGCAACAGACAAAAAAATTTAGTAATATAGTGTATATTATTTGTGGAATCATTTATCTAAATCCAAAAATTCAAAGTTAATTGGTCTTGATCTTTCTATAGTTTGTATAGGACTTATTTATTCACATTTAAATAAAGACTCAGAATAGTACGTCATCATTTATTTTTCCAATAAAAGGACTTGCTTATTCACATTCTACTATAGCCTCACAAGTCATATAAATCACAATTTTTTTAAGATTTGTCCTTACTGTTTACTATATTCCCAAGGTTCAAATATCGATTACATTTTTTGCTATAACAAGTTTCCATCTATAAAAAGCATTAGGAAAGCGTACTTGCTTTGTATATTAATTATACATTTTTATATTTTAAATTAAAATATACAATTTATATAATAAGATGTGATTTTTTTCTCAATTCAATAATCCATGTATTCTTTCTTTTTTTATTTGATGTATACTTCATCCATTATTTTTATAAATAATGAAATATTTTTTTAATGATCTCAAATTACCCAAAATATATATATATATATATATATATATATATATATATATATATATTTAGATGCTAGATATTCTTCAATATATCACTCAAAATATATTTTTTATATCTATTTATATATTATATGTAGAAATTCATTTTCAGTTACAAGACATTATATATAGAAGCTAAGAGGGTAAAGTATATCTATTTATTATAATTGTGATTATATAAGATTAAATATTTATCTTACATTTAATGTGTAAACTAAAATATAGTATTAATTATGAAAGAAAAAGTGTGAAGTAACCTTTAAAATTTGTGAAACGGTATATGAATCAGAGCATAATAATATGTTTTAGTTACGTTTAATTAAAATAAACAAATGCAGAAGGACAAGTTTCCCTGTAGAGATTCATTTCCGTTTATGCAAAAAATAGCGTGGCTTGAGGCGGAAGGGGACAGAGAGGATATGTTAACATTAGAAACAGAGCCGCGTGTCTAAGGCTTTGTCAACATGTATTTGTACTCATCCAAACAAAGCACAAAAATACACACCAACTAGGGATAACAATTAAACCCGTACCCATCCCGAGTTTGACGGAAAAACCCTGAGTTGACCGGGACGGAGTCGAGTTCAGATTTTTCCACTTTAAAAGTCGGGCAGGGGCGGGACGGGATGGGTAATACAATCCCACCCCGACCCCACTCCCGTCCCCGTTCCGACTTTATATTTAAATTTAAATTTTAAAATATTAATATTTTAAAAGTATTTCATTTTCTTTTTCTATTACATTTAAAGTTATTTTTTTATATTTCACCAATTTTTATTTTTCTTCTACCCACTTTTTAATTTTTTTATCTTTCTCAATCTTTTATATCAATTAATTTATTATATTATTCTCTCCCTTATCTCTCAGTTTTTCACATTTTCTTAGTCTCTCCCATCAATTTGTTTTTTTTTCAATCTTTTCAACCAATTTGATGAACACAAAGTTAATCTTTTTTCTTTATCTTTTTCTAAATATTTTACATCTATCTTAGTAGTAACTAATATTAGTTTATTTATAATTTATATTTATTATGCCATATTTTTTTTATCTTATTATGTTTATTTATCATATATCAAATTTTATCTTAATAAAATAATTGCATTTTAAAGGATTAAAAAAAATTAATAATTTAAACTTTTATTACTTCAAACTAATTAAATAAGAATTAACTTATTAAATATTTTCTTATAAAATATATATTGACAACTTAAAAATGAATTAACTTATATGTATAATTAAATATTTGAATACAGTATTATAATAATAATGTTATAAATATTCAAATATTTGAATACAGATGTTATAATAATAATAATAATAATAATAATAATGTTATAAATATTATATATATATATATATAAATAAAAAATAATTAAATATTTTTTTTACATATATATTTTAATATAAATATAATAAATTAAAATGTATATTTAATTAATAATAACTATAAATTATAAATATTTATTTATATATAAAAATACATAGTAAAATTAATTTATTATAAATATAATTATCTTTTTAAAAATAATATAAATTGGGACGGACGGGACGAGGAACCCGAAACCCAGCAGAGACAGGGATGAGGACTTAATTCCTAACCCTGCGAGGATCGAGAGCGGGACAGGAATAGTTAAAAAAGTCAGGGACGGGAATGGGTTAGGCAAAACACCAACCGTAAGAGTGAGAGAGAGTGAGAAAAATAAGAATTATTATACTAGTGCTTTGAATTACTCATCCAGCTGAGAGAGCTTGTTGTACAATTGTAACGGATCTCTCATCTTCCACATACATTTAATATTTCCGTATGCTAATAAATGAAAATAAGAGTTTCAATTAAATACCATTACGTTTCTAGAAGAAAAAACAAATTTGAATAATAAAAAAGGTTTTGTCTACATTCCGACACAACTCAACACACTCTCAACGCTCTCACGAATACAAATAAGCTTCCCTTGGCTCTGTCTTTCTCTCCAACAAGCCCCTTCTCGGCTCTCTCTCTATCGCTTCTAGCTGTAGAGATTATTTCAAACCTCTCTCTTTCTCTCATCCCTTTTTCCTTCTGCTTCTTCATCACCTTTCCTGGCACCACTCCTTAAATATATCAGAATAACACTCCCGGTAGACATAATCATGGAAGGATCTCACATGGGCTTGCTCTTATTCTGTTTCATGGTTTTTGCCTATGCTTCTGCTTCGTCCAGAAACTTGCCCATCATACCCTTTGATGAAGGATACGCGCCCTTGTTTGGAGACAGTAACTTGGTCATCCATAGGGATGGCAAATCGGTTCATCTTTCACTGGATGAGAGAACAGGTTTTTTCCTTTTCTCTTTGCCAGCTTTGACAAACTATGTGGGGTTATTCGGATGGTGATTTCTGTTGCTAAAGTTTTCAACTTTTTGGTTTTTCCACTTCTGGGGTGTATTTGCAGGTTCAGGATTTGTTTCGCATGATCTTTACCTTTACGGGTATTTTAGCGCTTCTATTAAGTTGCCTGCTGATTACACTGCTGGAGTTGTGGTTGCCTTCTATGTGAGTATTTTGCCTCAATGTTATGGTTAAATGAAAGTGATACCTTTTTCTTTTATGAATCACTTTTATTCCTATTTAAATAACTCAACTATCCATCCATCCATACCACCACCTTTCTGTCTAATAAAGATTTCTCCTTCACCAAACTTATATCTTTTTTTTTTTTTTTTTTTAATGTTATTTGAAAATGTAAGCCTAACATCTCCCAGGATTTAACTATGTTTTTTGAACTCGCCGAATACTAGTAAGTTTTTTTGTAATAAAATAAAAAATCCATCAGTTATCATTTTCATCCTCAACAATGGAGAATGAAATTTAGGATTTTTCTGGATAAATTTAGGACTTCTTACTTGGCAAAAGTGCAATTTGTTTGTTTGAACCTAAAGCGTCATTGCAATTTTGATTTTTAACTTGTGTTTTTGGAATAGAGGAAAAGCAATTTATTTCATCATGTTATCTGTTTGCAGATGTCAAATGGTGACATGTTCCAGAATAACCATGATGAAATCGACTTTGAGTTTTTGGGAAACATTAGAGGCAAAGACTGGAGGATTCAGACCAATGTTTATGCCAATGGTAGCACCAATATTGGCAGAGAGGAAAGATATGGTCTCTGGTTTGATCCTGCAGATGATCTCCATCAGTACAGTATTGTCTGGACTGAATCTCAGATCACGTGAGAGTCTATCTGAACTACCCTACATATAGCATATTTGGTTCTATTTGCATGTTATCTATACTTGTCCATATATCTACATCTTTATTATGGTAACTTTTATTATCATTCTTTTTTCTTACTCTCCTCCTCATACTGTAGTGTGATGATTAAAGTAGTAATTTGATAGACTTTGCTTTCATTTGATAGATTTCATTGTTGACTTGGTTACGTTTTATTAATGTTTTTATCTCTATACTTTGAAAATCTATATTTTAGTCTATAGATAATCTTCTTACGTTGTAGTCCACATGTCCTTATTCAACCAATTATGTTTGCTTTAGTATGTGTTGTTAATTGTCAAGTAACTTTATATGCTCTAATACAGAGCTACAAAATTAACTCTGATGATGTTAACTACTCCACCATCAATTGTTGCAATATTCGAACTTCTAAGTTTAGTGAAGTTACTTACTGTCGCCACATAGAGAGACAAAAACAGGCAATTTACAAGAATGGAACTGAAATATTAAAATTTTGTTCATATAAAAACTAAAGTATAATTAATCTATGTGTAGGGATCGAAACAAGAAGTGTGTGCAATTATAAAGGGTTAAACAGTTAATTAAATCCTCTCCTTTTTCTTGTGTAATAGTATTTTTATTGTATTTGACGCATTTGGTTAATCAGTTTGGTTATTGAGAATGAATAAACCAGATAGTTTGGTTATTGAGAATGAATAGAAGCAGATAGTTTGGTTATTGAGAATGAATAAAATCAGATAGTTTGGTTATTGAGAAAGAATAAAACCATATAGTTTGGTTATTGAGAATGAATAACACCAGATAGTTTGCTTTTATTGAGAATGAATAAAACCAGATAGATACCAAGGTAGCTAATATACTTTAATGGTGTATATATCCTTGTATGGGTATTTTTTTCCATATTCGACTACGGGTATATTGGAAATTATTTTTTATAATTGTGAATTCTTGTGCATTCATGTGCAGATTTTATGTAGATAATGTTCCGATTAGAGAGGTGACAAGAACAGAATCTATGGGAGGAGATTTTCCCTCAAAGCCAATGACATTGTATGCAACAATATGGGATGCATCTGATTGGGCCACCAATGGAGGGAAGTACAGGGTTAACTACAAGTATGCACCTTATGTTGCCGAATTCTCTGACCTTGTACTGCATGGCTGTGCAGTAGATCCAATTGAACAGGTGGCCAAGTGTGACAATGATCAAAGTTCGGAAGTCATTCCTTTTGGTGTTACACCAGCACAAAGAATAAAAATGGAGAATTTCAGAAAGAAGCACATGACTTACTCTTACTGCTACGACAAACTCAGATACAAAGCCCCTCTATCAGAGTGTGTCATCAGTTCTCAAGAAGCTGAGAGGCTAAGAAAGTTTGATCCAGTCACTTTTGGTAGTGGTCGGCACCACCATGGAAAACGACACCGCCACACCACAAGAAGCCAGACAGAAGCAGCTTCATCGTTTTAAGAGGGTTTTCATACCATGATTTATTTCTTTCATTTAGTTCATTACCTGGGTTGGTTTTTTCTGTTTTTTTATTTATTTTTGTATTATTAATTTTAATATTGCGGTGTATAGAAAAGAGGAGAATAGAATTCTTGAATATGATGATAGTTTTTTATATGGTGGTTATTGCTTGTGGTGGGTATGTGTATAGTTCATACCTTTAGGTTGGCAGGTATTTTTATTTGTCATTCATGTCTTCTAGTTTACAAATTAAATTCTTTATTTGTATTAGACCACACCTCAGGGTTTCAATAAATTATTTGGCATGAGTTATTTTAATTGCTATTCAGGCATGGGTTATGTTGTTGTCAGTTAGATGGGACATTTATTTAATCTATCTTAATGGGATTTCAAGGTCAAGCTGAATATGCAGGTCTTTCCCTTACTTTTGACCACATTTTCTGTTTTCTCTCTGGCATGTTTTGCAACTGTAGTTGAGATCTCCGTAAACAAAATATCTAGTTGTCTTTGTTGACACGTGTGTATATGTTACTCTTTAAAAAAAAAAAACACATCTGTTTTTCACCTCTCGTTGCATTTGATACTTTCTCTATAATTAAATTATATAAATCTTAAGCATCTGATACTTTCTCTATAATTAAATTATATAAATCTTAACTTTTATAATTTTTTAATAATACTGTTGTTAGTAGTTCATTCTTCATACAAATTATTCGTAATAATTTCTTTTTTAATTTTGTAATAGTAAAGTATTAGTTTCTTTGTAAGAAAAAATTATGACAAATTATTTGAAGAAATAGAAAATAATAAATTATTATTATATTATCGATCAATATAAGTTATAGTTTGAAACATTTCAAAATGGATTTATAGATATTTTTAACATTTAGACTATTTTTTAGGGAGAATTCTCTACATATATTTAACAAATATTATAATATATAATTAATGAAAATATTTAATATTTTATCATTTAATTAATAAAAATATTTAATATTTTATTGTTAAGATTTAATACTATAAAACATATTAGTAAAATGAAAAAATAATATAAAAAAATAATATAGGAAGCTAATATTTTGAAATTATATTTAAATTTGTTTCAAAACAACAATTTCATGCCTTTTTGAATATATTTATCACGCACAAATTTATTTTAGATTTATCACATTATATTAATTTATGTCATATAGACTTAAGATAATTTTAAAAGACATTAAATTATGCTCATGTTTAACTTATCACAGTGTCTTTCTTAAATGAATATTTACTTATGAATGTAAAATATCATAGAATAGATAAAATCAAAGTCAAGAGAATATGTTGCTGCTGATGCCTGTTCTACAGTTTGTCTTAAGTGTCCTACGGGTCTTTTTTTAGCATGTAAGCATTGGTTCAATCTGAACTCTTGGAAAATTATCGTGTTATACCTTTTTTTTCATATTTTTCGTGACATCAAATAATATTGATATAAGTTGATGAGAATTTTTCCTTTTCATGTTGATCAGAATTCTATCAAATTTTGCATGAACAAACATTATCTCTTTTACCGTTGATCCCAATAACCCATCTCTCTCCCTCCCAACTCATTTTTTTCGTCACAAATTGAAGATCGTTGACACATTTGTTTGTCCCGTATCACAAGTTAGTGAGGTGTGCTATCAAATCTATATAGTCATTAGTCGCGCAATACTAGTCAGGTGTGATCAAACAACACTAAAGCACGGGATCCCATTAAAACTCTATATCTAAGTCTGCTTGGGTGAATATAGCACTAAGATGGGTGACCTCTTGGGAAGTCATTGTGTTGCATTTCTTTTTCGTATTTTTCGTTACGTCAAATAACATGGATATGAGTCGATGAAAATTTATCTTTTTCGTATTTTTTGTGACGTCAAATAGCATTGATCCGAGTCAAAGTGAATTTTATCAAATTTCATAAGTCTTACATAAATGAACATCATTTCTTTTGTCACAAATTGAAGGACGTTGACATATATGCTTGCTCATCATTACAAGTTAGTGTGAGGTGTGTTATCAAATTCAAATAGGCATTGATTGTGCAACACTTGCCAAGTGTGATCATATTAGGACTAATGCATCGGACCCCATTACAACTTTGCAGTAAAGTGTGCCTAGGCGAGATTAGTACTAAGATGGCAGTTTTTTTTTTTGTATTTTTCGTAACGTCAAATAATATTCATGTGGGTTGATAAGAATTCTATCAAATCTCATTTTTTGTATTTTTCGTGTTGTCAAATAACATTGTTACGAGTCGATGAGAATATATCTTTTTTGTATTTTTCATGGCGTCAAATAACATTGACGTCAAATGAGAATTCTATCAAATTTCAAAAGTTTTACATTAACAAACATAATCTTTTTTACCATTGATTCCAACAACCCACTTCTCCCCCACAACTCATTTCTTTTATCACAAATTAGAGGTTATTGACACATGTGTTCGCCCTACATCATAAGTTAATGAGGTGTGTTGTCAAATCCATAGGTGTGTTGTTGAATCCATATAACCATTGATCGCACAACACTTGGCAGGTGCGTTCATACCAACACTAATGCACCAGATCACATCATAATTCGGCAGATAAGTGCGCTTGGGCGAGAGTAGTACTAGGATGAGTGACCTCCTGGGAATTCCTTGTGTTGCACCTCTTTTTTGTGTCGTGTCGTATTTTTCGTGACGTCAGACGATACCGGTTGATGAGAAGAACTCTATCAAATTTCATAAGTCTTGCATAAACGAACATCATCCCTTTTACCGTTGATCTCAACAACCCACTTCGCTGCCCCCCTCTCAACTCATTTCTTTCGTCACAAATTCAAGATCGTTCACGCATCACAAGTTAGTCAGGTGTGTTGTCGAATCCATATAACCATTTTGTTAAACTTACAAGGATATGAAGCTTGAAGATTTTGATGATGATTCAAGAACAAATGACTTAAAGAATTGAAGACTTAGAATCATGTATATTTACTTGTAATAACTCTATTTTATGTTTTTGAGTCTGTATAATTAGAGTACAAGATGGCCAATACATAGTCCATCATCTGAAAAATCATTTTTATCAAATCCACTATGTGATAATCGATTATCACTTAGAATAATCGATTATCCTGCACTGAAAAATTGTTTTTCTGAAAACCTTGCTGTGATAATCGATTATTTACACAGATAATTGATTATCCTGGTCCTGTTTTACTCCTCTGCGAAAATGGCTCTGTAATAATCGATTATCTATATCTGTTATGAGTTTTAAAATTCAAATCTGGACCAATTTACAAAAACAATATTCCCAATTCTTATGTTTTCGAAAATCATTATTTCCCAGACCCTATTCTCCCTACTTAAGGTTCTCTAAGGCTCTCTGTAAAATAACAAACCTTTTTCATACAAAAGTTAAGAGCTTTGGCTGCTAGAGAACTTTCTGTAGGGAAGAAAAAAGGGTTTTTGAAAACCTAGTGTGGGCTAGAAGCGATAAGAATCACTGAGTGAGTTTCTTGGTAGATTGTGTGTTGTGCCGTCTTTAGGAAAAACTGTTGTTCATCCTTTATGGATTCAAAGGAGGTGTTCATCTCTTGTGTGACTCAAGAGAGGTTTTTTCTATTCCTTATCATTTTCAATTTGTAATCTGTTGTAACTTGTGATTATAGTGACAACGTTAATCCTCTTTTAGAGTGATTAGCAACTGGACGTATGGTCTTTTGATCCGAACCAGTATAAATCATCTGTGTAATTTTCTTTCCCTTATCTCTTTACATTACAAGCATTTTAATCGGTAAAATTTGGGGATAATTTTTAAAACCCTAATTATTTTTAAGAAACCAATTCACCCCCTCTTGGTTTTTGTCCCTAAACGCGAACATTCCGTTGCGCGATTCTAACAAGTGGTATCAAAGATTGCTTTCATAGTCATTCAAATTTCGAAAATGGCAGGACAAAACCAAACATTTTCCGAGAGTGCTTCTATCAATAGACCTCCACTTTTTGCGGGGCAAAATTATCCTTTTTGGAAAGTTAGAATGCAAATGTTTTTGGAGTCTGTTGATAGGGGTGTATGGGATGCAATTGTAAATGGTCCTTTTATTCCAAAAGTTACTGAAAATGGAGAAGAGGTATTTAAACCATTTTCTAGATGGACTGCAGAAGAAAATAGAAAAGCTCAATATGATGTTAGGGCTAGAAATATAATTTCGTCTGCTTTAACCCTTGATGAGTTTTACAGGATATCTATTTGCAAGAGTGCTCAAGAAATGTGGGAAATGTTATGAGTAACCCATGAAGGTACCGATGATGTTAAAAGAGCAAGGAAGAACTCATTAATTCAAGAATATATGATGAGAAACGATTTTTGACGTCCAAAAGCGTTTCACACATATTGTGAACCATCTCACTGGACTTGGCAAGATTTTTGATACTGATAAATTAAATGTAAAAATTATTAAATATTTGGATAGGAAATGACAACCAAAGGTGACGGCCATCACGGAGTCACAAAATCTTGCTACCATGACTATGGCTGCTCTCTTTGGAAAGTTGAGAGAGTATGAACTTGAACTCGGAAGGCTAAACGATGAAGAAGGCCAACATCAAAAGAGAAATCTAGCCTTCAAAACTGAAGTATCTAAAATCAAGAACAAGAAGGAGGAAGAAGACTCAAAAAATGAAGAAAACACTAGTGCAAAAAAGGCTTTTTATGTCGGTTAAAATGGGCTTTCTACGTCGGTTAAAGAGACGACATAGATACAGGGGTCATAGAAAGTATGACTTTTTACGTCGGTTGTTATGAACCGACATAGAAAGTAATGGGCTTTTTACGAAAATTTATATGGGCGAGGATTCGAACCTAGTAACATTGTAGTCTAGAATTAGACAAACCACTAAACTACTATGATTTTTGTTTATTTACAATTACATTTCCTTTATATTATATTTTATAATATATTATTTTATTATCTATTAGAAGTTTGTCATTAGCAAG